TTTGATTTTGACATGGAAGTTTGTACAAGTTTGTTTGTCACAAGAATGTGTTTATAGTTGTGACAAAGTGGTGAATTGTTTCATGAATTGTGTGTTAGTAATCGAGAAAAACTAAGACAGCATTTAGGAAAATTTAAACAATTGGAAAATCTTTGGGATAAGCAATGTCCACTGATTATATAAAACTATACTGTCAGTACATCATAGTTAAATTAAATAGTTATATACATTTATTTCTGTTCAAAAGTGTGGAAATTAATTTTTCAAAATAAACTTCTAATAGGCCTATTCCTTATCCTGTGGCTCTCTCTAGTGGACAACATTAATATCACAGCTTTTAGCCTCAGGTTATGTTATCACATAGGCTTTGATAATAAAATAAACAGCATAAATAATTGAGTTTTTTTTTTCTTTGAGCACTCATTATAATGAACTTTTCAAGCAATATCACCTAAAAATAAATTGAAAATCATGTAGGCCTATTCAGTGACTAACATGGAGCATCCAAATATATTCACAGTTACAGTTTAAATAAAATAATACAATATAATAATATAGGCTAATGTTAATCAGAGCACATATGAACTTACTGGTAATAGTTAATACAACACGTCTCTAAAGAAAAAAATCATTCACTATACAGTAGACCTCATTTCTGAAAATTAGACAATTGTATGATCAGCAGATGTCTATTATTTCAGAGTTCAGGTTTTGTTTTTTGTTTTTGTTTTTTCATGTCATATAGCTGCTTATTACAAGAGCAGTTTGTTGTAGGCTACTCTACATGTTCATATTAAGAGCCTATATATTGATAAATGATTAATAAATGTTTATACATAGGCCTATTTGAAATTTTTTTGAAACTGGTCTACCCAGTTTGACACATTTTCATTTTCAAATGTTATGTCTATTAAAATAAGGCTGTAGCTCATATAGTAGCCTATTGTTCATGTGTTGATATCTACTGAAGCCTTATGATCACAGTCGTAGGGAGACAGCTGTGATCATAAGAAACAAACAAAATAAATAAATAAAAACCAAAAAAAAAAGTTAAAAATAGTGAGGGGATATTTTAATTATTTGTTCAAAAAACAATGTTTTCAGAGTCAATGTTGCAAAAATGAATTTGACCAACCTGACTCACCATCTCCTCATTGGATATGCCTTTAGAGAGAAATTCATCTTTAGGGATTACATAATGAAAGAGGTTTTGTTCTGATTTGAATTATTTCGTTTTAAAATAGTAATTTAAAGCATTTTATAGATATATTTATCATGTCTGTGAAGCGCTCCTGCTCAAGACCAAGACGACAGAAAGCGCATCCTGTTTGTTTTCCTTGCTTTACAAAAGCACAAGATTTTGTTGATATTGTGAGTGCACACAAATACAAGTAGACCCTCTGCAGTTCCGAATGATGCATACTCTTATTTTTTAGTTTCCACTGTTATTAAAAAAAATGCAAGTGATCGAGCTGGCGCCTTCATGTCCAGCAAAGCGCACTTTAGCTTCCACTCTCCGCGCAAACGATATGTGGATATGTGGGATATGTGCCTAACAGCGCTCATTTATCTAGGTTAAATGTTTAAATTAATACTGTGAAATGCATGAAGTGTTTTATGTCTGTTTATTTTAGGCAAGTCATGTTGGTTTGAGAAGGCTAAATTGATCAAACATAATGCTCAACTCACTGTCAGCCGCTGCCGTTCCTTTAAAAAACTAAAACTTGAATTTAACAAACATAAAATGTTCCAAACATATTTCTAAATTAACATTATAAAGAAACAAAAAGAAATAGGACCACTTTTCCATTAAAAAACAAAACTGAACTATTTTAATAGCTGTGTAATGGGGAAGAGAGAGGTACACTGTAAAAAAAAGTCTGTGACATTTACGGTTAAATACCGGCAGCTGTGGTTGCCAGAACTTCACCGTTAAAAATATGGTAGAAACATTTTAGGTTTTACAGACTTCGCTTAAATTCAAAATAAAAAACATATTTCATTAACTGATGTAATGTTAATAAACCAGCATATTGAAGTACTAATATCTGTTTTAAATCATTGAAATGCTGATAACCACCAAAAACAGGTGGTGATGAAAAAGTCACATGATGAATCAAAGCTCATCACAATACGCTCTTCCAAAAGCTGAGAAGGAAAATACTAATATATATACATAGAATGCACAGTGTCATTCACACAAACACTGAACACCATCATGGTAACACACATGATACTGAAATAATGCAATAAACATTAACAACATTAGATGTAAGATAAAACACTAATGTACACAACTGATAAGAAAAAACTAAGAAGAAACAGTTATTTCAACGAAAAATCATAAAATATGAAGTGTAATGCAGGGAATTCTGGGAGTGTCAATTTACAGTTTTTCACTGTAAATTATACAATGACCTTTTCTTTTTCACCTCCAAAAACCGTAATTTTAACAGTATTTTACTGTAAAATTAAATTAAATGTAATTACAGTTATTCACCGTATATAGTATGGAAACTTACTAATAACCAATTAACAGGTTTTTATTGTAGCCTTTTTACAGTCTTTTACTGTTAAAATCACAATAATTTTTACAGTGTATGCACATTACTAAGCACTGAAATATAAAACTTTTTTTTTTAAATAATAATTAAACACTGCGTCGTCAGAGTTGGTATGTGGCTTTATCAGACACTTGCACTTAACATTTTATGAAAATCAAGCTCAAATGGAGTTAGCAAGGTTTTTGACCAGCGAATGACGGAGATCTGCGTTTTGTCTGTCATTACAACGGCCGCATCTGAGGCAGCAAGTGCATCGCATCATACGCTTTCATCAACTTACAGGTTATGATATGTATTGTAGCTATATGGGCGCTTAGTTTTTCATGTCGTTTAATACACTTGGCCAAATTCTCATGATAGACGATGAAAGCGCTATATGCACAGGATACTTAAAACGTAGCCTACAAAAGTAGCCTATTGATTACAACTAGACGGCAAAAGCTTTTCTCCGCTCTTCAAACACACAAAAAACACGAGCCTTTATAGACATAGAGTTTTAGTGAAGAAAACGCTGTACTTATTCGAACATAATTTATTATTGACGTCTAACGTCTCATATCTTAAGTCTGACGCCTGAATGCTATGGGATTTTGGCCAGACGGCTGGCGAGCGTTAGTTCTCCTCTCAGTTTGCTTAGCAATCAGTAAAAAGTGCATATAGTACACCCCATATATCTCTTCATAATACAGTCTGAACACATCCACATCCGGGTAACACGACGCCTCACGCCTCGCCTCAGTGAGGGAGGAAGCGCCAATCACCGCACGGCATCTGACCTGAGATCAGCTCGCGCATCACAGACCAAACCGCCACTGACGGCCGCAGAACCGATCCCAGATCATTTTTTAACCGCAGAAAGCCACTCGACAGGGAGTTTGTTACAGGGCGTTTGAGTCACAGTCAGTGTTTAATTCGCTTATACACACATTCCGCTGACGTTTAGCCCAGCGCGCGAGCACACACACACACAGAACCAAAGCAGCCGCGGAAGACACAGTTACATCGCAGCACTGTAAGTATTCAACATTTCACACATTACAGAAACGTTCGCTTGGTATCAAATAAAACGTCGAATTGACGTTAACCCCAACATTGAGCTCACAGGCTACTTCTACGTGTCTTATTCATTTTGGTGTCGCACGAGAATAAGCTAAACCTACGCGCAATTTTCCGCATGTCGAGCTTGTTTTTGGTAACAGGACTGACAACCCGAGAGAGTGTATGTATGTGAGTGTTTGAGCCGCCAGCGTCTGAACGGTTTCATTGTTCCGTTCTGTCGTTCTGTTGGACTGTGGCGTTCTGTTCCACTTTTACATTGTAAGCAGCTCGCTCAGTGTCACGCTGTAATTCTGCTGCGGCTGTTTGTGTTGAATTGACTGAACGGGCCTGAAACGGACCACACTACTGCGAGCGAGGCCCGTTCACTCAGTTCAACATGCATTTCAGCACGATTCTACATAACACCATCTCTGTCAGATGGTTCCCTATAGTCCTGAAAGAGAGCTTTTAGAACTTCTGTCACACAAATCTGACGACTGATGTTAAAATGGCACACGTTTAACCTTACTTTTTGTAATGGAATAATGTGGAGTCCAAAGCTCTTTCCTTAAATCATTTTTAATAATAATAAAAACTATTACAACAAATCAAAATTAATTAATTATATAATTTATTGATTATCTGTTTATTAAGAGATATTCAATTCATTGTAAATTCATTTTCTTACTTTTAATAAAAACGATTTTATATTATGTTATATTAGAACTATTACATTTATTATACTTATTATATTTTTCTATGAATCTGGCAATTTTCTACTCTATTCCAGTGCAATAATATTGTTTTAATTACCAATAATATCACTGCCTTCATGTTGTATAGTAATTGTCTTGACAAATAGATGATTAAATGAATAATTGTATATTCTTTGGAGTAATTCTAACTGGTTTCTCATCAACATATGTAGTCTATGTGCTACAGAGAGATTTCATCATTTTGTTTTGTAGTTTTGCTGCACTGGGGTGTTGAAGGTGGTATTTACAGATAGTAAACAAAGGTGGAGCTTCTATTTTGTTCTGACGAGGACTATGAAATTCCCAACACTGTCACACAGCAAACAGAAGACCTGTTCACTCACTGCTAAATAAATGTGGTCATGTGACATTCCTCAGGGATGGGCCTTTTGATGGTTAAGGTGATATTGTGATAGTACATGTGGGTGAAATGAGGGTGGCATACATTGCTGGAGATAAGTTATGACTTTGTTATGACTGAGGTGAGTGAGGTCTTGGTTTTATTGCTGGCAGTGTTTGCATAGTGAATTACTGTAAGTTATTCCCAGTCTTTAAACACACCTAGATTGCAGAGTAGACGAAGACTGGTATGATTAGTAAATTCAAAACACTTTAGAATAGAGGTTGACCGGTAGTGGATTTCACCGATAGCTAGGTTGGACCACACTGGTCGATACCGATTAATCAACCGATAGTTTTTAAAATGGATACTGAACGAAAACTAAAATAGTGTTTTACTTTAAAAAAAAAAAAGAAAAAAAAGAAACAGGACTGAACCATACTTTACATAAATACAAATATTAATATTAAATATTAATTATATATTGATCATTAAAGTTAGTTCATTGTTCATTAATGTTACAGAAGCAACTTCAAATTTTAAAAATGAATTGGTAGATGTTGAAATGAACACTCTAATTTATGGCCATCTTTAAATATCTACACAAAGGCCATATCCTTGAAATTATATGGATATTGTATGTATACTCTCACACTTTAATTGCTTCTATTCTAGAAAACGTGATGATTATCTAATCAAAATAACAAAATATGGCAGTCGCACACTGGGCAAAAAGCCACAGGTATCAGGAATCACACACACCTCACACACACCTTGCTCTACTAATTCAACATCTAGTCATCAAATTAATTACATAGTAATGATATGAAAACGGGTCATTACTATGGATTTGGATTTTTACCGATAGTTCTGGCAATCAACTATCGGTGCCGATTAATCGGCAAAACCGATCATTCGGTCGACCTCTCGTGTTTTTGTTGGGGGATTTCAGAGGTTATCACGGCCAGACATAACTAGCTGCTTGTGCTTTCATTTCACAGTGTATATTTCTCTTTGAGAAGCGTTATATTCTTGATAACTCCAGGGATTATCGCATACTTGATAAAAGCAAATCATTGAATAAGTGTGATGTTTGCAGTGTATCTTTCAATAAGTTGCAGCCAATTAGAAAGTTTATATTAGCAAGTTTTGCACTGTAGATATGCGTCTTTATAGTATTATGCCATACCATGAATGCCACACTTTAAATGTCTGGATTTGTGGATTTAATGCTCAGTTCTTCAGGTGAAATAAACTGCTGCTCTTGTATAGCTGTATACTATCGCATAAGCCTCAAGCTGACATTCGTCTAATTCTAGTCTCTTAAAAACCAGTCTTGGCGTTCCCACAGACTGTGGCTTTTCAGAGAGAGGACTGATTTGATGTTTCTATAACAGTCTTTTAAATGGCACTTTTAGGGCCCTGCAGCATCGGTGGCGGCTCGAGTCTGGAGTCAAAAAGCTGTTTCGTCGGCCGTGGCTGAAGTTAATCTGGCAGATTTGCTAATGTGTTTTAGGTGGGATCAACGTCTGAGGAAATATGTGGAGACTCCCTAGTTTGAAGAGGTTTGCTAAGTGACTTTGCCTATTAAGTCGTGCAGTAGAGTGAAAGGATTAACCCAGTTTGCATAACAGTTAGCAGATTGTTTTCTTCTTCCGCACCCATTAATTTGCTTAAAATATTTGTTTATTCGTTTGGAATCTGAGGCATGTTTTTCTACCCCTTCAGTCAGGTTATTCTTGACATGTTCGGCATTTTTCTGAACCTGAAGGTGAGTTCGTATGTAGGATTCATGTTTTTGAATAGCTAAAAAATTAGTGGATCAAGATGCGACACTATGCCTTTGCTGCTCTATTCATTAAATACTACTACTTTTGAGTAAAAAAATCCCATGCTTTTTTGGACTTTGCACAATGCATTAATAAAGCATGGATTGTATTTTATCTCCATCTTGACTTTGAAAGTAGGAAAATGCATCAGCGAGTCAGTGGAATGTTTTTCACCATGTCTCGCCCATAATGGACTAGGCATGTAGCTTCTGAGTATTTGCCAAAGAACATGCCCTGAGAATAAAAAAAGGCCTGATTCGGCACACAAATGTTCCTAATCGTGTGTGTCTGAGATTGACACCAGTCTCTGATCGCACAAAGACCGTCAGAAATGCCTTCTCAGACTTCATGTCTGTCTGCAATCTGCATCTCTACATCTGCGTTTGCTTTCGGGAGTCTGTAGTTCATTGTTAGATCGTGCTCCCGGGAAGGAAGTTGGGAACAGCGATTAAGCAGAAACGTCTATTGCATCATTTGACTTTCCTGAAAACCACAGGCATGGCTAAGAGACTGTTCTGAGGAAAAGAAAGCGTGCCAGAGTCTGACGTCCTCCTCCCTCTTGTATTTACCATAAATGGAGTCAAACGCAGGCAGGTCAGTAATCAGATCACACTGAGCGGATCATCCGCAATAATGGACTATTGTTACTGTATGTGTTTTGTACTTGGCCTAATGGCTGTGAGACAGTCAGCCTTTGGATGTATGATCGCATTGGACTATGTACGTTTATCGTGTGTGTGTGTGTGTGTGTGATTGTAGCAAGTCCACAGTGATAAGTAGCAGTTTGTGCAAATAGATCATGATTTCAGCACCACTTTTTGTACTTTATAGTTGCATGTTAAAGGCCACCAGATGTTCAGTGAGGAACAGGAACAGTGAAGATGGTTATCATTGTCTGGAAGAGCAGCTCTGAAAAAGCTCCCATTATAAACCCAAAAAGAATGCAAGCAACCTTTGATCTGTACAGTATATGAATGCAGGAAATAGCAAGGCAGCTGCAAGCTAAAAATACCGCAAGTTACAATTATTCTGTAGGTTGAAAAGGTTGTTTTTGTGTAAAAATTTGGAGATCATGTACAGTCTCACTGTTTAATGCAGGATATACAGTTGTTTAATGTTGTGCAATTCAGAGAAAAGAAGTAACAGTGTTTTCTTCGTCTGTGCCCATTCATTTACCTGAAATATTTGTTACTTTGTTACTTTTTAGTAGCATGTAAATATTAATATTAAATATTAATTATATATTGATCATTAAAGTTAGTTCATTGTTCATTAATGTTACAGAAGCAACTTCAAATTTTAAAAATGAATTGGTAGATGTTGAAATGAACACTCTAATTTATGGCCATCTTTAAATATCTACACAAAGGCCATATCCTTGAAATTATATGGATATTGTATGTATACTCTCACACTTTAATTGTTTCTATTCTAGAAAACGTGATGATTATCTAATCAAAATAACAAAATATGGCAGTCGCACACTGGGCAAAAAGCGCAGTGCCGCGTTTGGGAGAACTCGCAGGTATCAGGGATCACACACACACACCAGACGCGTCACGTTCAGTTTATGCCGCGGTCTAAAACAGTTTATTTAATCACCAAACGGGCAAAAGTTCACATCAGGAATGATCAAACAAGCGGCATATATGAGTTTGAAGTTCGGTATTTAAAAAAAAAAAGAAAAAAGAGCAAAACTTGTGTGTGTTTTGGTCACATTGTTTTAACCATTTAAGGTGCTGCTAATGTTCGCGTCCTCTTAGCCTTGATAGCAAACATACTGCTGTTCTTTCTCCACTAGTGCAGCATCTAGTCAACAAATTAATTACTTAGTAATGATATGATAATAATCAATAGTAATAAATGTAAATTATATGAAAACATGCACCATAATATAATGTGTACACACCGTTTAGTTGATGTTTTAAATCCGCGCGTCTGAAGTGTCCCTCTCTGTGCAGTGGCACGTGTCAAAACAAACAGCACGTGGTGTCAGTGATTCGCCTCTCGAGGCCGCTCTCTTACTGTATAATGACAGCGGATCTTCTCA